ACTGTGCTTCAACGTAATATTACCGTATTGTGTGTGTATAAGGACCATAAATGGCACCTGAAGCGGATTTCAAACTCCAGGCTGTCAGTCACGCAGTAGAAGTTGGGAACAGAGCAGCTGTGAAATTTTAGTTTACATTTTGACTGCACAATTGTGAGCTTTTTGTTATGGACAAAAACAACATAGTTTTCTTTTATTTATGGAGCAGTATTATTTAATAAATGCTCATAATTTATTTTTGAGTAGTTGTTTTTCATGTACATCTATGCTGTATGTTAATAAAAGTGCCTGTGTGACATCTGGGACACAGCTTTGACTAAGAACTCTCTTTTTGTTCTTACTTTATGGCTTTAAAAAATATATCGAGATATATATCTTATATCGCCATCCAGCTAAAAAATATCGAGATATGAATTTTGGGTCATATCGCCCAGCCCTACATGTCAGTTCCCAGCACATCATCGAATCTGTTTTTCCTTTATAATTAAGGAAAATATGAAGGAAAAAAGGGGGTCAAAAGGGTGTACCTAACAAAATGGCCAATGAATACAGCATAAAATAAATAATAGAAACGTCTATTAGTTTTCTGCAAAGTGTTTACGTTATAAAGACTCTGTGATGCAGCTGTTGAAGTCACATTTTAGTCATCTCAGTTTTTTAGTGTTTTATATCCGAAGTAAAGACGCCTTTTGCCAACAGTATAAACAAATAACTACAAAACACTCCCAGTGAGCGTGGAAAGCAGGTGCTGTGTCACTGCAAGTCCTCTATGCTGTATTTAATAAGTGAGCCGGCTGCCCACTACCAACAAAAGTGTCACAAGATGAGATTAGCTTGGATTATCAATTCAGTGAAACGGTTTCCTGGAGGAAAAGCTGTACCTAATCGTGATTAGGACGAACATTAACCTAGCCTGTTACTTTGGGGAGCTTAATTACTCAAATGCACCCCCCTCATATTTCTATTCCTTCACTCCTTACCTCTGCAGTATGTTGTAGCGGGGTGTCTGCCACACTGTACCCTGGAGAGGAGCACGGACAGCGGCTGTAAAAGAACTGTAGAGATGCGCAGACTGGACGAGGCTGGAGAACTGACAGGTCTGTGGTGTCCGGGCACATACAGACACGGACAGCGGCCTCATCAGCCCTGTTGTCAAACACAAGGACGACAGAGAAACACATGAATATAAAACCGAATTCAGCTATTTCTGTATGTGTTACTGAACAGCGCCGCTCGGTAACACACAGATGATAAACATGCACCGCATCAAGAGGGTGAAATAAAACTGTATTAATGTCAAACTGCAGTTACACACCGGACAGCCTCCTTGCCAGGGTGGCCGCCATGTTTCCTCCTGAACGCAAGTAAGTACGGTGGGCCGTTAGGACAAACCTTCTTGTTAAAAGCATGAAGTTAAGTTGAAGCGACACAGCGCTTTACCGCCACCTAGTGAAGGACATGGTTGGCTGTGCTGTGCAGGATATGGCGAACCAGAGCAGGCTAAAAAGAGAGAGAGAGAACCATTCAAGTCATTTTGAGACAAACCAAACATATAAAATGTGAATAAATCGCATATGAACACATTTCAGTGTAATAAAACATGTTTATAGACAATACAATACTGTACATAAGGTTGGTTCTTTAAGACTGGCCTAAGTAAGAGTTTTACCCCTGTCTGACGAGCTTAAAAAAGCTTTTGCTTTTGTTTAGTAAAAAATAATTATGTATAAAAACATTTACAATAAAATACCTAGTATTTTACTGTACCATTGCTTTTGTAAAATATCATTGTGTAGGTTTAACATAAATTGAGTATTTCTGTGGCACTGTTAATTTATGTCCTTTATAACTTTTCAATATAACTTTCATGTATTACAGTAATCAAAAGATTATCAGGCACTGCACCACACTACACCACATTTTATCCAATACAAATGTATTAAATACTCCTGTATTCAGTCTACTTGGTGTATATATAGTATGATATGTAGCTTCCAGCTGTGTCTGTCTACATAGCTGTCACATTGTAAACATGAGATCCTGAGATTTGCCATTTTTTTCACATTCTCCTGTTGAACTTTTGCATAATCTGGAAAGAACTGTTCATTGCTGGAAGACCAAATCAGTATTTCAGTTCTTATTTATTTAGTCTGGCAAATTTCCCCATACCTACTGAACAGATAGCCCATGACAGAAATGTAGCTGGAGCAAATATCCACAATCTAGATAGCTAAATGAAATAGTGATTGATGTTCTTAATAACGCCTGTGCTTTCCCTGCTATGATTCATCAAAATGACTGCTGTGCGTAGGGCTGTGTTGTGCAGTAAATATAATTATGCCACAGCATCCATCCATTCATCCATCTATTTTCTTCACCAGCTATACCAGCTGACACCTGGCAAGAAGTAGTACATCCTGGACAGATCACCAGTCAGACAGCGAGGACACAAAGGGACAGACAAACCTATCATGTACATCTTTGGACTGTAGAAGGAAACCCACGGAGGCACAGACAGAATATCCAAACTCCAACACAGTGGTTGCAACTGTCATAACATTTCAAGGCAGAACACTGACACATATATACAGCATACAACCTGCAGCAGTGACCTGTTACAGATAAAACTAGCAAAAGAGGATTCAAGTGCCTGATTAATGTTGAGAATAGATTGTGATAGTTCAAAAATATTTCCATGACTAATTTCTAAAGAATTGATTGATTCATACTTCTGCGGTTTTAGGCATCCTCAGCATCAGCCTGACTCCCTGATGGAAGGTGTCAGGTTGTGGGGGGTTGTAACGGCCATCTGTTCTTCCTGAGGTGCGCAGTTCTCTCCAACTGTGTATCTGGTGTTGCAGGAGTACTGCAGAATGATCTGGGGAGTGATCAGAAGCCCGATGGTACAGCGCAGACATGTCAAACTAATTATTCATGTGAAAAAGCCCAGTAAATATATGAAAAAGAGGAGCAAAAAAGATTTTCTGCTGTACTAAATGAAAGAAATCTGACAAGCACAACTCTTTGGGCTTAAACTACAAGAATTTAATCAGTAAAATTACAGAGAAAGTTCTGGTAGCTTGTTGCCAAGACTGTCTGTAATTATAGAACAGAAGTTTTTTTTATTATTCTTGTAGAGCCAGTGTAAAAAAAAAAGAGAGAGAGAGAGAGAGAATTTTCTATAGCAGATAACAGGAACTTTTCTGTCATTTAATTGTTTATTTATTACTTAACTACTTTTTTGTGGCATGAATGGCCATGGTGGGGGAGGACTTTATCAGTAGGAAAAGCTTTAAAACATATTTAAATAATAAAAAATACATTTTAAAGTCAAAACCTATGCCCTGCTTCACAATGTCTGAAGCTGTCCAGTGAGAATCTTTGCTGGGTCAATTCTAATCCTCAGGTCTTATGTTTGACACCTCTGGTATAGCGTGATGGTTAAGAGTGATCTAAAAGTGTCTAAAACCCTTGCTATCTATCTATCTATCTATCTATCTATCTATCTATCTATCTATCTATCTATCTATCTATCTATCTATCTATCTATCTATCTATAGCCTACACGCATTATACAACCAAGTCAAAATATGACCAAAAAATGAAACATTTCAGAGCTTTTAACTAATTTTACTTTCAAAGCTTTGTAAACAAGCGACGCATGTAATGTCAGCTGTGGTAATTATAAAGAGCTGGTTAAGACAGTGTTAATTCTCCGCTTAGCAGAAGACAGTATAACACCACATTCACAGCATACAGGAGCAAGAATTGAACAACAATTAAAACACAGCCTAAATTACACTTTCTACACACTAATGGAAGGTATAATATCACCAGATTTACTTGAAGGCTGTTATAAAAGCACTACTCTTTGCTGCTGGCAGGCCATTGTACTGTCACT